GGACTAAGGCAGACTCGGTCAGGGCACAGAAGCAAGAGTGCCGGAGGGCCGAACGGAAGTGGCGAAAGTCCAATTTCCAGGGCGATTATGAAATCTTTAAAGATGAGTTGGGTGAATTAAACCGGGTTCTACGTAGAACAAGAGAAATGTATTTTTCTGACATTATTGGAGGTTGCAGTAACAATTTTCGTGTTATGTTTTCAACAGTTGGTAGATTAACAAACCCCCCTGTAAAGTTGCCCCTAGAATTTTCCTCTAAATCTAGGTGTAATGAGTTCGCACAGTTTTTCAATGACAAAGTACAAGGAATCAAAAACACTATCACCTCCACAGCACGTATAACAATGGAACAGCCAGAGAAGCTTTTTGAGCTAACTCACTTTGCACCTGTGGATACTGAAACTGTCAAAAAGATAATCATGAGTCTGAGCTCCTCCACATGTAGCCTGGATATATTGCCCTCTAAATTTCTGAAGTCCGTCCTGAGCAGTTTGTTACCTTCACTGACACAAATAGTAAACATGTCTCTGTCGTCAGGAACATTTCCTATGGCCCTAAAAACAGCAGTCATAAGACCTCTCCTAAAAAAGAGCAGTCTGGATCCTGCGGGACTTCAAAATTATCGCCCCATATCGAATCTGCCATTCATTGGAAAAATTCTTGAAAAAGTGGCCTCCCAACAACTTACTGAATTTTTAACAATGAATAATTCTTTTGATATGTTCCAGTCTGGGTTTAGATCCCACCACAGCACTGAGACCGCTCTAGTGAAGGTAACAAACGACATTCGACTTCACACTGATGCAGGTAAAGTCACAGTTTTGGTCATGTTAGATCTTAGTGCCGCGTTCGACACTGTCGACCATGAGATCCTCATGCAGAGACTGGAGGACTGGGTTGGTGTCACTGGCACAGCCCTAGACTGGTTTAGGTCTTACCTGGAGGATAGGAAGTACTCTGTGGAGATTGGAGACTGCGTCTCAGATGATGTGGCCCTGACCTGTGGAGTACCACAGGGGTCGATCCTGGGACCTCTCCTATTTAATTTCTACATGCTGCCGTTAGGTCAGTTAATACAAAGAAACAAAGTGTCCTACCACAATTACGCCGACGACACTCAGATCTATGTCTCACTGACTGCAGGAGAACATGGACCACTGGATTTGCTCCTTCACTGTATCCAACAGATCAGTGACTGGATGCAAAATAATTTCCTCCAGCTAAATGCAGACAAAACCGAAATCATTGTCTTTGGTCCCCAGAAACAAAGAGAGGGCGTCATTTGTCAACTTCAGTCTCTCTCCCTACTTCCTTCAGACAAGGTCAGAAATTTGGGGGTAATACTGGACTCAGACCTAAATTTCAATAGCCACATAAAATCAATAACATCAACAGCTTTTTACCATCTGAAGAACATTGCCAAAGTTAGAAATATAGTGTCCAGGGCAGACTTGGAGATTCTTGTCCATGCATTTGTCTCCAGCAGGCTAGACTACTGCAATGGCCTGCTTACAGGTCTGTCCAAACAGACCTGTAAGCAGCTGCAGTACATCCAAAATGCAGCAGCTAGAGTCCTGACAGGAACCAGGAAGTATGACCATATTAGTCCGGTCCTCAGGTCTCTGCACTGGCTTCCTGTGGCTCAAAGAATAGATTTTAAAACGGCTCTGCTTGTGTACAAGTCTCTCCATGGCCTTGCACCAGAATACATTAGTGACATGTTGGTGTCATATGAACCGGCCCGGACTCTGAGGAGCACAGGGACTGGCCTCCTGCTGGTGCCCAGAGTGAGAACCAAACATGGGGAGGCTGCGTTTCAGATCCATGCAGCTAAGATCTGGAACAATCTCCCTGAAAATGTGAGGGAGGCGTCTACTCTGTCAATGTTCAAATCCAGGTTAAAGACTGTTCTGTTTGCCTGTGCATACAACTGAAGGATTGTATCTCCATTTCTAATGCACTGCTGTCATTTATTTTTTTTTTTTTTAATTTCGTGTGTAATTTTGAAAGTTTTAATGGTTTTATTCTTTTGTGTGATTTTAATGTTTTAATTGTGTTTTAATCTTTTGTGTGATTTTAATGTTTTAATTGTGATTCTGGTGTTTGTTTTATGTGATGATTTGTGATGTGGACTGTGAAGCGCTTTGTGTTGCCCTGTGTATGAAAGGCGCTCTACAAATAAACTTTGATTGATTGATTGATATTGTCATTACGTCTTCCGTTGTGACGGGCATTTTCACACACGTCTCTCCTGAACTTTCGTATTCTCCGCTTGTGTTAAACCTTTCATATAAGCCCAGGACCGTGGTCGAGGGGCACAGGGGGGGGTGTCGCTCCAGGGCAAGAAAAGCGTTTCCGGGAATAAGTCCCTCTGTTCTGACCCTCGCTCTCAGTGTGGTGCTATTGCAATAATACTTCAGACATTCAAGAATCAGTCTTTATTTAATCACCAGAACACACCAACACACTCCTGTCTGTCTCCGGTCGCTCTGCTCGTACGGCACACTTTTCATTCTCATTCATTAATTCCTCAGCGCTCTTGTGCTCGTTACTGAAGAGTGTGTTGGTGTGCGCGCACACACACACATTTTCTGTGTGTTGAATATTTGAGGCTTGTCCCCTGAATAAGTTTTGTTGAAACTTGTGACATAGTTGGACTCAGAGCGAGTCAGCTCATGCTGAGACCCAAAGTTGCAGTTTCTACCTTGTTCTCATTACTGTCAGTGTGAAAAAAGTTATGTATTGTTCTCGCACATGGAGTGCACAGACTACCGCAATGTGCCTTCTGTTGTTTTAACTCTGCCTTTCGGTGCATGTGGTTTGCGATGTTGACACTTTGCTGCTATGACGCCGGTTTCTAGAATTTTGCATAACTGTGGTTATGCAACTGTGGTCCTCCATGGTTCCTACTTCAATCTTGTGAGGGCACAGTGGAAGCAACGTCATTAGTATAACATGCACAAAGACACTGGAGAGCTGCTCCACTCTGACCTCAGTGCCTTGGTGTTCATCCATCCATCCATTTTCTTCCCTTTACTCTATTTCTGGGTCTGGGGGGTGGCAGTCAGAGCTACACCCAGTACACAGAGCATCTGCCCCTTACTGATCCTCCTGCAGGTGGTGAGTCCACAGGAGCCTTGAACTGTCAGTGGGGGCTTCAGGCAAAGTGGGGTTAAGTGTCTTGCCCAAGGACACCACTACAGCATACATTAGTGGAAGTTGTGAAGTAGGTCTTACGGTGGGCTTGAACCTACAACCTTCAGGCCCAGAGGCCAATGCTCTACCAACTACCTGGGTGTTCATCTGAACCACAAGCTGGACTGGACTCATAACACAAACGCCCTCTTCAAGAAGGAACAGAGCCAACTCTACCTGCTGAGGAGGCTCAGGTCTTTTGGAGTGCCGGGGCCCCTCCTGAAGACCTATGACTCTGTGGTGGAATCAGCCATCTTATACGGCGTGGTCTGCTGGAGCAGCAGCATCACAGAGAGGGACAGGAAGAAGCTGTACAAGGTCATCAGGGAGTCCAGCTCTGTCCTGGGCTGTTCCCTGGACACAGTGCAGCAGGTGGGGGACAGGAGAGTCCTGGACAAACTTACATTTATTCGGTCTTTCCTTCCTGCTGCTGTCGGACTGTACAACAAACTATAAGGACTAATGAACACTGCCAACTTGATCCGATGTGTCATGCATCTTTGCAATATCCTTAACTTATATCAGAATGTGCTATAACCGCATGTCACTGTCACTTTACTGAGTCACTTTGTCTCAGAGCCTCATGCTACTAATGCACAGATGTAAACATGCTGCTGCTAATGTACAGATGTAAACATGCTGCTGCTAACATGTACAGATGCTAACATACTGCTGCTAATGTACAGATGCTAACATAATTACACAATATACATTGCTTGCACTAGAATACACAGTACTGTATACTGGCCTCGTATTTGTACAAATGTAAAAATGTTACACTTCTTTTTATTATTTTCAAGATTGAGTTTTTATACTTGTTATTGATGCGAGAGTTATAGATGTTGTTTTATTTAAATAGTATAGCTGTTGTTCACTTATCTTGTGCTCCTCTTTCCTACTGTTCTATATCTTGTGATGCAGTGCTGAAATGTCCCCACAGCGGGACCAACAAAGGATCTCTTAATCTTAATCTTAGCTCCTGTGAAATCAAAACATCCTTTTTGTTCCTTATCAACCAAAGTACTTCAAGATTCCACATTGACATGGATAGTCCTCAGCTCTCATGGAGGCGGAGACCACGCCCACTGTTGCTCAAGCTGAGGAGAACAGGTCGATCCAGTCCCTGGCTCACACGGCTGCTATAGTAGCAAAAGGAGATGAAGGCCTCAGGGTGAAAGGGAGGGGCAGGCACTTAAACATGTAGTGATTCTAAAAAGAACATAACGGCCCTTTGTCAGTTAATGTTACTGTTATTGCAAGAAAAAAAATGACAACAACAGACAAACAAATATCACAAAGTAATTGGAAAAGCAAAATCCCATATAAAATGGTTTCATTGCTGGCTTCACTCACTCAAACGCGGCTCCACGGATCAGTTTGGCCACTAGATCATTGGGAGGGGCCAGGACAAGCCAATCACACAGCCCGGTGCAAGAGAGTGTTTTTTACAAGAGAACTACAGCCGTACTCGATACAGGGATTAGAAAAATGTGTCAGAGCATGTCACAGTGCAGAGAGGTGTTTTGCTCCAGGGCACAAGCTCAATATCCAAATCTACTATTGAAAAGCCCAGTTCAGATTAAAGTTGGGGTACTTAACTTTATACATATAGTTTGCCGACAGAAATTGCCTTGTAAAAGGGCACAAAGCAGACTACATCCTGTGGTTTCCATTTAACTCCTAAGGCTGAGAGCTGATTGGTTGGTTTGTAGGGACATTTCCCCACAGACCTCAGTGTGGCAGACATGTAATGTGTGTGTTGTCTTGTGTCTCCTGGTTGTAATGTGTGTTTCTTGTGTTCACAGAGCCTGTGGCAGAGGTGCTGGTGAAGTCGGACCTGTCTCAGGCTGTAGAGCTGAACTCGACGGTGGTCGTGACCTGCTCGGCTAAAGGCTCCCACCTGAGCTTCAGCTGGATGAACGGGACCACAGCCGTGAAACAGGACACACACATCACTGTGACAACGGTGAGGACATACACACACACACATACATGCACGCACGCACACACACACACACACACACACACTATGGCTCATATTCAAATGTAATTGTTTTATTAATATTAACATTTGAATATATTCAAATATTTCTTTTGACCAATAAATGCTTGTACTATCCTCCTGGTAGTTAAACAAAATAATACAAAATTCCGCTGGCCACACGTGCAGCAACCAAGCTGAGAGAGGAAAAGCCGGTCAAAGCTGTGAAAATTCTAGAAAAAAGCCATAACAGGAGCTAAACCAGGATTAAATCAGGACTGACAATGGGGGATACCGTGCTTGAGAACACGAGTTCTCATTCTCTTGTGCGTGTAAACCATAGACTGTAACTGTAAACAAGTGCTGCTAGCGTGTTTGCCGATGCAGAAGTTCTGGTTAATAATATTACAGCTCCGTGAACACATACTGCTGTTATATGAAGTCTCTGGAAGGACTCGAGACACAGAGATGCTGCCGAGCTGCATTTGTGGAGGAGAACTTTACACAAAAAGCCCCTAGCTTAACCTTGATTAGCATCAAAGCCAATGCCTGTATAATATTTGAATAGTAGGGGTTGTCTAATACTCGTCCGATTGTCATTATTTTTTTGAATATTGAAATGATAATCGAATTTCTTTTTTCCAGCCCAAACACACGCACACACACACACACATGCACACACACACGCATGTTAATGAACACACCTCTCCGTATTGGTGCCTTGGGCTAATTTGCATCTGTTGTCCCACAGTCGCACTCACAAACACACTCATTCAGCAGATACATACACACATGACCACATTTTCTTACGCATCTGCTTTGTATTAATTAACAATTGTGTAAAGCCCTTCCAGAGCCTTACAGAGATCCAAACATTTGAGTGAGGCGGTCCGACCACAGCCTAGCGAGGCGTATTGTGATGACATCTTATGTTCTTTGTTGTTTCAGAAGGAGAGCTCCAGCGCCCTTTCTATCTCCTCAGTGTATCGCACTGACCTGGCAGGGCCATTGTACTGCACTGTGTCCAATTCCAAATCAACAGAGAAGAGTGAGGCTTTCAACCTCACCGTCCACTGTGAGTACAACTTTACAACCACACAAACACATAACTATAAAAACATACAAACCTGCAACCACACAAACACAACTACACAACCATAATGGGTTTACAGCACTTCATATGGACTGTCTTCACTGCCTCCCAAGTGTGTGTGTGTGTGTGTGTGTGTGGGTGCATACCCAGTCAAGTCTCCTTTCTCTCTTTTGTCTCTCTCTCTGGTTAATAACAGTCCAACCTCTGCTCCTCGTGCACTTTACGTCTTTGTTCTTCAGTTTTCACGACACTCCCAGAAACACAGGTCAAAAAACATGACCGTTTGTCACACCTTGCAAATACTACAGCCTCACAAAGAAATAAGTCAGATCAGAAATGTGACGGGAAACTGATAAACCTGCTTTCTATGGGTCAGGGGCTGAAATTAAGAAGTTAAAATTGAAAATAACTTATCAGGAGATGATTAAAAGTTGTTTTGTCAATGAAAAGTTTGATGTTTGTACTATTTATTTTAGTGCCATTACCAAGTGGGCAGCATAGTGTGCAGGGACATCTGTCTATGGGGTGGAAACCCCAAGGTCTAAATGGGAAACTCCCTCAAAGGTGCTGGGGAATGAGTGTGCAAAGATCTTGTGGGACTTAAAGATAAAGACTTACAAGATGGTAATGGTGAACCAACCAGACTACCACCACGATGGTGGTAAACAAAAGGCAAGGAAAGCTGTGGTGGAGGATGTTGCATTTCCAAGCGATGGTAACATGAGCATGAAAAGCTCAAGAAACACCATGGGCTCATAGAAAAGCTGGAGAGGTTGTGGAAGTAAAAGTGACAGTAGTGAGAGGAGCTGGAGAGGGCCTGATGGTAACGGCTCGTACACACTACAAGTGCAGCAAGTGATGAGCGCCTCTCCTCGGCAGAGGAGGCTCGCATCACAGGGCTACTGATGTGTAGTCTATGGAGAGTTGAAGACGACAGTAAGGGCCAGAGAACTGATGTAGAGAAACAAAACATGTATAGTATGTGTGTCTCTGTGGGCTGGTGTTGTCAGACGAGAGACTTAGGCCCTGTCCACACGAAGTCAAGCTCAGGCCTAAACGCAAAAATACATTATCAATCCAGTGTATCGTCCATACGAGGCCGGCGTTTTGGGGGGGTGTAAACGAACATTTTTGAAAGTAGGTCCCAGAGTGGAAAGATTTCAAAACTCTGTATATGCCGTTCCGTGGTTACTGCCTCTCCGCAATGTATCTGAGACGCTTGCGTCATCGCCCCGCCTCTTGTTAAAGCACGCATGCGCCGCACTCAGAAAATAATGACAACAACAATGTAGCTTGTTGGTTGTGACCCAAAGCAACAGTTCAACCTCATCGTCCGTCCATACTAATGTAGTACCAGCTCGCCCACTCGCCATGTTGTCTGTTTACAAAATTCTGCGCATGCCCAGTTCCCGTCACGGAAGTTTGGGCTTGATCCCGTCATCGCGTCACAGCGCCACCAACAGGTCTGGCATAGTTTCACATCGTTTTCAGGCGTATTGACTACATTCATATGGACGCACACATTTACTGAGCTAACTCCGTGTTTAGCCCCAACTGAAAGATCTCAGCTCCTGTGGACTCACCACCTGCAAGAGGATCAATGAGGGGCTGGTGCTATGTGTACTGGGTGCAGCTCTGACTGCCACCCCCCCGACCCAGAAATGGATTAAGGGGAAGAAAATGGATGGATGGATGAAACTCCGTGTTTACAGAAAAAGTTTCTGAAATTATAAGCGTTTTGTCTTTGTGTGGATATAGCCTTAATGAAAGAAAATAAGAACTTCTAGCAAAAACATGTTTCCCAGATATGTAATCCTCCATTTGGTAATAAGTCCATTGAGTTTTAAAAAGTAAAACAAAACGAGTGCCTCCTCCATAAACTCCTCTTTGTTTTGCTAGCTGCAGCCAACACTCGGGTGCATCCAATTTCTAATATCAACCTTCTTTCCCTTCACCTCTCTTCCTTATCATTCATATCGTCATTGGATGCATAACATTATCCTAAATGCATTTTAAAATATCTTGAAATGTGTCATATGTATGTTAGCCAAACCTGTTGCTGCCCTTAGCAGATGTAAAAAAGAAAGAAGCTTTCTGATGGAATTGGATGCAGCCGAATTCTGCGCTCACATGCCCTGAGGCTGGCCTCACTTGGTGACATTACAAGCCGTGGTTGAGCGCGATTAAGACCCATATTTGTTGTCAAAAACACAATTTATGAACCATCCTCTCAGCTGTAGACATGTTGATTATAAAGAAAATATGTTTGAACTTTGTACTGTAATAGATGCGCACTATAAAAGGAGCGCAATGGATTTCTTTTAAACTTTCATTTCCCGTTTCCCGTCATAACATTTCCCGGGAATCTGGAAATTGTTTTGATCAGATTTCCCGGGATTAAACCCTAGCGTGCACAGGTTACGCAAAGACACAGAAACAACACGCAGCAAATGGTCCTGTGTGCGACTTTGGTCCAGGGAACATTACACTATTCAAGTATGGCAAACAAAATGTTCCCCAGGGACACAGGTGTCCCCCGCTGGCAGCGCACAGGGCAGGCCCCACAATTGGAGAAGCACTGAGCAAGGGGCTGAGCACTGTTAAATTGTATACAGTATATGTAGGCCTGTCACGATAACAAATTTTGCTGGACGATTAATTGTCTCAGAAATTATTGCGATAAGCGATTATATTGTCGTTCTGAGATCATTTGCATCGATTACAATGATAATGCAGGTACACCTTTTCAAAGAGAAATAAACTTTTATTTTTAACGAATATTTAACGCTAGAACACAATAAATTAACAAACAACCAAAAACAATAAAGAAAATAGACTCAGTCTCTTAACAAAAAATGACCAGGAATAAAACTGCCAGGACCTTTGTAAAGAAAATATGAAACAGATGCCTCAAATGTCAATAATTTCTCAGACTTTATGGCAGATTAAGAGAAAGAAATACCAACATGTTGACTTTGTGTGGCATAAGACAGGATCTCTCAAGAGTAGTCCCACCTCCCCACACACCAGGCGAATGACAAGTGACTGACATGTGGGTTTACCAATGGGGCGTACAGAAGTCCTGCTGCGGTAGTGCCCACCGGAAGTAGCAGGGCGGGCTTTGATGCTAACAGCTAAGCTAGCGGGTTTTTTGTGTAAAGTTCTACTCCAAGAATGCAAGTCTGCAGCATCTCTGTGTTCAGAGACCTTCTAGAGACTTTATATAACAGCAGTATGTGTTCACGGAGGTGCGCCATAAGTTTATTTTATTGGTATGGTACGGTACTTCTGCATCGGCGAACACGCTAACGCTAGCTGCGCTAGTATAGTCACTAATCAAGCCTGAATGAGAACTCAGCTGCCGGCATATGTTCACAACTACTGTGTCCCCCATTGTCAATCCTGGTTAAGTCCTGGTTTAGGTCCTGTTTTGGCTGTATTTTGTATTTTTGAGTAATTTCTGTCTGCTTGCTAGACCGCTAGTGTTCCCGTGACCACTTTGCGGCTCTCTGACGAGAGAGACGGGGGAAACAAACAAGCATGCAAATGGGATTTATCGCGGCCAGAAAAGTTTATTTATCGTGCGATTAATTGATTTATTGACTATCGCGACAGGCCTAAGTATATGGCTTATGGGCACCTGGATATAAAGTAACCAAAAAGCCTTTATAGCATTTACACTGTTTTTCATGGTTTTGCGTTTAGTTATGAGGGTGAAGTGGTCAATTCCTGTGCTTTTTATACACAAAGTTGATACAGAGACAGACCTGCCAACCCTCCTCCACACCTCTCTGTGTGAGTCATGCTGAGAGTATTGAGTCAAAGTGAACTGTAACAGTAGAATGTGACCACAGGCATCGCTCTATGTAAACACACTCAGAACGCAGCTTTTCACTTTTCACACACAAATACCTGTGTTATTTAAAATCACTCACCATGACATTTACATTGACGGGTTAGAGTAGGGAGGGCCACTGTGGTTCACCAGACTTGTTCAGGGGCCGAAAACCCACATTGTAAACCTCTATAGTGCTGAGGAGAAGCTGCTGAGGGTGCCGCGCTGGAGCAGAGCGAGCTAAATGTTTGTGAGTGCGGATGTTCCCCGCCTGTCCTGCAGTGCTATGTAGACTCGTGAACAGCTGCGTGTACAGGCTCAAATACTCAAAGACCCAGTATCATCATGACTTTGATCCGATACCAAGTTGTGTGCGTTACTGTTCATGTATGTGTACTCACTGGTGTCTGAGCATTCCTGGTATGTGTTCCAGGTGCTGTCTTTTGTGGACCATAATATTATAGGACTGAGACCATGTAGTATGTTACTGTGTCTGGATATGGTGTCAGGAATGAAGCAGACAGAGACGGATCGTGGTGCGCCAAACTCTGGAAGTTTATTAGACCTTATGCCGTTTTTTTTTTTTTTAATTGTGGATATCAAAATTGCATGACAATGTCAATCTGAAAGAGATTCCGTCAAAAAAATCCTATATTTTATTAAAAGAGCGTGTTTTTCATGGATTTAAGTTGTCTATGCTCTAACCTGTGTGTGACGTCATAGCGGTAACGCCCATGCATTGAAAACCGTGGATCTATGCCACAGGACTGCCTTTTCTCTCTTCTCTCCACTGATGCCCAACACAATACTGCACTCTACAGGTGACAATTGCTCACTACACATAAATTGCCGTAAGGAGAGTGAAAAAGTGTCTGAGGTGGGATTTGAACCCCAGTATCTGGATTCGCAGTCCATCAACACAACCACTGGACTATCTCAGTGACAACACCACGTCACAATCTAGTACTTATCTCTCACTCGCTGTACACGACCTTGTCATCTTGAATATCCGCGAAAAAAGAACGAATACCAAATTGTAAAAAACTTACAGCGTTGAAACGTACCCACTCTGACGTCACCAAGGGCTGTGAAGTTTTTTCGTTTCTAAGGGCGATGCTATGGGGTTATTTCGATTTGGGGGGATCAGACAAAAAAAACAACAACTGATTTTGAAACCTTTAGTAGTTCTCTTCTAATATAAAATGGTATTAAAACTGTATTTCTAAATAAATCAAACCCGGCATAAGTTTCTCTCAAGTTCCAGTGGTTTCCATTGTTTCTTTCTCTAAGACAAAATGGAGTCAGTACACAGTTTATATAGTCATTGTCACGTCACACATCGAAAGACATACGTGTCACACAGAGACAGTGCGCATCATAGTCAAAATAATCAGAGTGCTTGTAGAGTCCTGCACGTAGGCCATATTGCTATCTAATACTAACAATGGTATAGCTGCTTAAGTAGGGACCCTCATGGTGGTGGACAACCCTCGCTACTGCAGACTAAATTCACCAGGGAGACCCAGGACATTTCTCCTGTAGATCTCAACGTTAACTAAAACATCCATCCATCCATCCATTTTCTTCCGCTTTATCCGTTGCCGGGTCGCGGGGGCAGCAGTCTAAGCAGAGACGCCCAGACTTCCCTATCCACACACACTTCCTCCAGCTCGTCCGGGGGGACCAGGCCAGCTGAGAGACATAGTCTCTCCAGCGTGTCCTGGGTCTTCCCTGGGGCCTCCTCCCGGTGGGACGTGCCCGGAACACCTCCCCAGGAAGGCGTCCAGGAGGCATCCTGAACAGATGCCCGAGCAGCCTCAACTGGTTCCTCTCGACGTGGAGAAGCAGCGGCTCTACTCCGAGCTGCTCCCGTGTGACCGAGCTCCTCACCCTATCTCTAAGGGAGCGCCCAGCCACTCTGCGGAGGAAGCTCATTTCGACCGCTTGTATCCGCGATCTCGTTCTTTCGGTCATTACCCACAGCTCATAACCATAGGTGAGGGAGGGAACGAAGATTGACCGGTAAATCGAGAGCTTCGCCTTTCGGCTCAGCTCCCTCTTTACCACAACGGTCCGATACAGAGACCGCATCACTGCGCACGCTGCACCGATCCGCCTGTCAATCTCACGCTCCATCCTTCCCTCACTCGTGAACAAGACCCCGAGATACTTGAACTCCTCCACTTGAGGAAGGACCTCTCCACCAACCTGAAGAGGGCAAGGCACCTTTTTCCGGTCGAGCACCATGGCCTCGGATTTGGAGGTGCTGATTCTCATCCCAGCCGCTTCACACTCGGCTGCAAACCGTCCCAGTGTATGCTGCAGTTCCTGGTTCGTTGGAGCCAGCAGGACGACATCATCCGCAAAAAGTAGAGATGAAATCCTGTGGTTCCCGAACCGGACCCCCTCCGGCCCCTGGCTGCGCCTAGAAATTCTGTCCATAAATACAGTGAACAGAACCGGTGACAAAGGGCAGCCTTGGCGGAGGCCAACATGCACCGGGAACAGGTCTGACGTACTGCCGGCAATGCGAACACAGCTCTGACTCCGGTCATACAGGGACCAGACGGCCCTCAGCAGAGGACCCCGGACCCCGTACTCCCGGAGGACCCCCCAAAGGACACCCCAGGGAACACGGTCAAACGCCTTCTCCAAATCCACAAAGCACATGTGGACAGGTTGGGCGAACTCCCATGAACCCTCGAGTATCCGATGGAAAGTATAGAGCTGGTCCAGTGTTCCGCGACCGGGGCGAAAACCACACTGCTCCTCCTGAATCCGAGATTCGACCATCGGACGTAGCCTCCTCTCCAATACCTTGGAGTAGACCTTACCTACCGGGGAGGCTGAGGAGTGTGATCCCACGATAATTGGAACCCACCCTCCCGTCCTCCTTCTTGTAGAGAGGGACCACCACCCCGGTCTTTAATTCCATTGGCACCGCCCCCGATCGCCACGCGATGTTGCAGAGACGTGTCAGCCAAGACAGGCCTACAACATCCAGAGACTTTAGATAGTCAGGACAGATCTCATCCACTCCCGGCGCCTTGCCACCATGGAGGCTGCCAACCACCTTGGTGACCTCGGCCAGGGAGATGGAAGTATCCGCCCCAACATCCTCAGCCTCTGCCTCCTGGACGGAGGACGTGATGGGGGGATTGAGGAGAACCTCAAAGTATTCCTTCCACCGCCCGACAATATCCCCAGTCGAGGTCAGCAGCCCTCCACCCGCACCATACACGGTGTTGGCAAAGAACTGCTTCCCCCTCCTGAGGCGCCGGACGGTTTGCCAGAACCTCTTCGAGGCCGACTGATAGTCATGCTCCATGGACTCTCCGAACTCCTCCCAGTCCCGGGTTTTTGCCTCTGCAACAGCCCGGGCCGCGGCACGCTTGGCCTGCCGGTACTGGACAGCTGCCTCAGGAGTCTCACGAACCATCATTGCTCGATAGGACTCCTTCTTCAGCCTGACGGCATCCGTTACTGCCGGTGTCCACCACCGGGTTCGGGCATTGCCGCCGGGACCAGCACTAGAGACCTTGCGACCACAGCTACGAGCCGCCGCATTGGCGATAGAGGAAGAGAACATGGTCCACTCGGACTCGATGTCCCCCTCCTCTGCCGGGACCTGGGAGAAGCTCTCCCGGAGGTGTGAGTTGAAAGTCTGTCTGACAGGGGGCTCAGCGAGACGTTCCCAGCAAACCCTCACTACACGCTTGGGCCTGCCAGGTCTGACCGGCCTCCTGCCCTGCCAGCGGATCCAACTCACAACCAGGTGATGATCGGTTGACAGCTCCGCCCCTCTCTTCACCCGAGTGTCCGAGAAAACGCAGTCGAAGGTCAGATGATACGACAACAAAGTCGATCATCGACCTCCGACCTAGGGTGTCCTGGTGCCATGTGCACTGGTGGACACCCTTGTGCTCAAACATGGTGTTCGTGATGGACAGGCCGTGACTGGCACAGAAGTCCAACAACTGAACACCGCTCGGGTTCAGATCAGGGGGGCACGTTCTTCCCGATGACCCCTCTCCAAGTGTCACTGGCATTTCCCACATGGGCGTTGAAGTCCCCCAGGAGAATAACGGAGTCCCTGGGCGGTGCACTGTCCAGTACCCCTCCCAAGGACTCCAAGAAGGCCGGGTACTCTGCACTACCGTTAGGCCCGTAGGCCGTAACATCAATGAGAGACTTGTCCCCCACCCGGAGGCGGAGGGACGCGACCCTCTCATTCACCGGGGAGAACTCCAACACGAGGCGGCTGAGATGGGGGGCAATGAGTATGGCCACCCCAGCTCGCCGCCTCTCCCCGCGGGAAACACCAGAAAAGTGGAGCGTCCAACCCCTCCAAAGGAGTTGGGTTCCAGAGCCCCAGCTGTGTGTGGAGGTGAGGCCGACTATCTCTAGTCGGTATCGCTCAACCTCCCCCACAAGCTCGGGCTCCTTCCCCCCCCAGTGAGGTGACGTTCCACGTCCCAAGAGCCAGATGTTGGGTGTGTGGACTGTGTCTCCGCTTTCGACTGCTACCCAGTCCTTGCTGCACCTCGCCACCACGGACCCCTCTGCAGGTGGTGGGCCCACAGGAGGGACTGCCCACGTCATCCCTTCGGGCTGAGCCCGGCCGGGCCCCGTGGGCTAAGGCCCGGCCACCAGGCGCTTGCTTGCGAGCCCCGACCCCAGGCCTGGCTCCAGGGTGGGGCCCCGGCTGCGCCATCACGGGCGACGTCACCGTTCTAGTATTAGTGCTGTCCATGGTTGGCTTCGGACTGCGCTTCGTCTGACTCGTCACTTGAGACCTGTCTGCCATGGGAGACCCTACCAGGGGCATGAAGCCCCAGACAGCATAGCTCCCAGGATCATCCGAGTGCTCAAACTCCCCCACCACGTTAAGGTGGCAGTCCAAGGGGGAGTAAACTAAAACAGCTCGTCCTTAACTGACAAATAACCTACAGCTTTCACAAAGCTCAAGTTCAGTGGGATTTTAGTGTCCCTTGTCATGATGAACTTTTTTTCTTTTGAAATCCAAGTTTTCTATAAATCCCCAAGTTTGTGCCACAAACTGGGCTCTCTCTCTTCCGCTCTCATCTTTGCGTCTTCTTTCGAACACTTACAGCAGGCTGTGTACCAGCACGGTGCAGTGCTGCCTTCTGCAGTCAGAGACCTTAGTGAGCGAATATGCTAGGGTGGAGACCCCAGGCCGTTGATTTGAGAGGACAATTCAATTCAATGTCAAGACCAATGTCCATGAATGTTGATAAATGTCCATACATGTTGTAGAATGTTTGAGTGTCCTTTATCATCACCACAGTCCTTCTTGTTAGACACTAACTGTCTAATAGACCATCCTACATTGGCAAGGAATAACTCTAAAACCCAGTGGGAAAAACATCTTGAGTTGCCAGGGCTAGACTTAGACAGGAGCTTTTACATAGAGGGGGCGGAGTTACGTTGTTGATATTAGCGTGGATGGATCTACAGTCACAGGTCTGTGACTGTGCGACTGATGAGGAACCATTTTGGAACATAGAGAAAAGAGTGAAAGCATAAATTTGCCTAATATGTGTCCTCTAATCCCCTGTTGTTTTACTCCCCCTCTCACCTCAGATGGTCCGGAGCAGGTAACCCTCTCCCCTCCCAACCCTCCAGCCTTTGTGGCCTCTGGCTCTAACTTCAGCCTGACGTGTGCCGCCGTGTCCAGCCCCATGGCCTCTATCACCTGGCTTCAGGGAGACGTCCAGATGGATGTGATGGGACCTGTACTAACCCTCGACAAACTCAAGACCATAGACAAAGCTTCGTACAGCTGCAAGGCCTCCAACGCCCAGACTAAGAGGGAGGTGCACTCCGCGGCCGTCTCCTTCACCATCATAGGTAAATTCATCCATGTGTGATTTTCATTACTTCATCTAGCAGTGTGGAAAATTAGCTATCTATTTCCCATAACAGTTTCAGCAGTTTGCCGGACACGTTTTAAATTTGTCCAGTAGGGTTGCATCTCAGAGTAGGCTTGATGCTTTACTCACAGGAATCTCTCCCTCTGGTCTCTCTCTGGTCTCCCTCTGGTCTCTCTGGTCTCTCTTAGGTTTCTTTCTGGTCTTTCTCTGGTCTCGCTCTGTATGCTTTCATCACTTCATCCATGTGTGTAGTTTTCTAATGTCTCGAAGGAGTTTTAAGACGAACTCCAAATATCATTGAACATATCTATACATATGAATCCTCAACACAACACAATAAGTATTGTAAAATGTTGTGAACGAATCAGTAGTAGGAGTAGTCGTTGCAGTAATAGCAGTTAGATAGATAGATACTTTATTGATCCCCGTAAGAGAAATTCTGGTGTCCAGCACAAGCAAAAAAAATTATGTTTTAATAAATTGATCATTCTAACGGCTAACAATAGTAATAATAAGCAACAGCACTTACAGTAAGGTCACCGCAGCAGAGGTGGACCATCCGCTGCGTGGAGCAGGACGGGTCACAGCAGCAGAGGTGGTGTAGCCTCTGGGTGGAGCAGAACGGGTCACAGCAGCAGAGGTGGTGTAGCCTCTGGGTGGAGCAGAACGGGTCACAGCAGCAGAGGTGGTGTAGCCTCTGGGTGGAGCAGAACGGGTCACAGCAGCAGAGGTGGTGTAGGCGCTGGGGGTGGAGCAGAAGAGGTCACAAATGAAAATGCTGAAAGCTTCATTAGCATTTATCAAAAATCCTTCCTCCAGTGGATATTTGGCTGATCCGCTTGGTTAGGACCATGAATCCGCTGCGCTCCGCTCTGGACCAGTGCAAAACCATGAAAACTGTACTACAAAACAACAACTGTTTCAGAGCTACTCAAGACTTGCTGCCGTTTCCAGCGCATAAAAAATTTGAGTTGTTGCAGTAGTAGGTAGCAGTAATAGCAGTGCTGTCTTCATCTTATTAAATAATGTAGAAAACTAGTGGTAGAAGCAAACTGTATCTAAAGCCAGAACCGAGTGATTGGATTCTATTACATGGTTGATACTTTTGTGGTTGAAAGTTACGGACCTCAGCTTTTTAAGATGATGTTCAATCATCTTAAATAGATGGAATGTAAACTACAATAGTTTCTCAGCTCTTGTCTTTCTCTCGCAGGTTTTGATTTCCTCAAATATTTCCAAACTGTCATGTTATGATTGCCTCTTGTTGTGAACTGGCTGTTTCCACATTAACTCATGTTGCAGTAATAGTAGTACACACTATTGTAGTATTAGTAGCAGCAGCAGTAGTAGTAATTAGTTGTAGTAATGTATGTATTTGTGGGCATAAGGAGCAGCTACAGTCTGTTATTTCTGTGGAACACAACTCTGCTTCTGGCAGAGATGCACACAAGTCCCGCAAGCCCAGCGGTCAAAGTCAAATCCAAGTCTCTGGACACGCAAGTCCAAGTCTCATTTCCTGCGCATTAAAATTATGGCCAATACAATTTAAAAAGGATTAAAAAGATTGTGTACAATTGTACCATTTATTGAATTATCAAATGTGATGTCATGTGAACACAACCTAACCAAAACACATACAACATGGTTACAGACCAAATTTCACTCAACTTAAATATGTATTAACTGAGAACAGTGTATACAAAAATACAATGCAATGCACAAGTGTTTCTAATGTTATAAGACGATTTACTTTTTATGCTTCTCTCCAAAGGCTTGCATTTCTATATAGGCTGTGGGCTAAATTATTTTTCTTCTGAGCTGATCATTCTGAATGCCATTGGCAAACATAGTAAACTATAAAAGGAAAGGTTATAACTGCACCTAAGTTACATTACACACAACTCCCTGCCATCCTTGTTACATAACCTAACCCTGTGAGAACCCAAGTTAAACAATGATCACCTTTTACATGAGAGATATGTTACACTTGAGACTGACCAAACTTGCAAGTGTGCTTGCACTCATCCTCGCTCTGTGTGAACGCATTATAATACCATATACGACACATCAAGTCTGTCTTTAGAGGACAAATCAGAGTCAAGGCTCGAGTCTTTAGGGGATGACAAGTCTCTTAAATTAGCAACTTTACCTTGCGAGTCTCCTTCTCTGGTTTCTAAGTTTTGGTTTCACACCAGAGAACATGTGCATGCCTCATTTTACATTCAACAGCTTTTTAACTGGAGCAGTGTAATCCCCCATATGTCCAGCAGGGTTGCATCGTAGTGTAGGCTTGAGGTTTTACTTTACTTACTTTGCACACGGGAATCTCTCTCTCTGGTCTCTCTCTGGTCTCTTGATGACCTGTGGACCCCATGTTTGAAACCCTTCCTGGATATAGTTTTGGTTTACCTTCTTAAGTAAAGGTTACTGTTACTGTGTAACAAAAATCATAATGGTCCACTATAAAAAGTGAGAAGATACAATCCTTCAGTTGTATGCACAGATTATTTGGACATTGGGGTTTGGGGGGTGCTCATAAGCTTCTTGTCTCATCCTACTCATTTTGATCAGAATTAGCACTGTTCAAATAAATAGATAAACATTGTCTGAGTAGAAGCCTGCCTCTTTTCAGGAAGACAGTTCCAGACTTTAGCTGCATAAATCTGAAAAGCTGCCTCCCCATGTTTAGTCCTGACTCTGGGCTCCAGCAGGAGGCCAATCCCTGTGCTCTTCAGATTCCCAACAGTATGCCAGTGCCGAGACCTGAGACCAGGACTAATGTGAGCGTACTTCCTGTTTATAGTCGAGACTACTGCAGCGTTTTTTTTTTTTTTTTATGTACAACTGTTTTAAGATGAGCTAAGATAAACTTTATTGATCTCACAATGGAGAAACTTACATGTCACATTTGGCATTGATAGAATTACTCAGAAATGTGATGCAAAAAGACAGAAATGTGCAACATGTTAAGGTCAAAAACATAGACTGTGCAGGATATTTTGTACAATAAAAAAGTGGCAATAGCAGTGCTGGTTCTTCAGTCCTAGTGCATGTGATTTGTGACTTAAAGTGACTTGTTGTACAGTCTGACAGCGGTGGGGATGAAGGCACTGCTGTAGCGCTCTTTCTTGCACTGAGGGTGCCTCAGTCTTCCACTGAAGGAGCTCCTCAGCTCCTCTACAGTCCTGTGCCAGGGGTGGGAGGTGTTGTCCATGATGGAGGTGACTTTGACTAGCACCTTCCTGTCCCTCACCTCCTCCACAGAGTCCAGGGAGTAGCCCAGAGTGGAGCTGGCCCTCCTGACCAGCTTGTTCAGTCTGCTCCTGTCCCGCTCTCTTCTGCCCGGGGTATGGCAGAAGCTACCACAGAGTCATAAGAAGTCCTGAGCAGAGGCCTGCTCACCCCGAAGGACCGCAGCCTCCTCAGAGGGTGGAGGTGACTTTGGCCTTTCTTGTACAGGGTGTTGGTGTTATGGGACCAGTCCAGTTTATTGTTAAGAACACCCAGGTACTTGCAGCTGTACACCAGCTCAATGTCCTCCCCAGGGATGTTCAACGGTGTGTGAGTTAGAGGTTTTCTCCTGAAGTCGATTAAAATCTCCTTGGTCTTGGTTGTGCTCACACCAGTCGACAAAGTCCATGATAGCCGACAGGTATTCCAGTTTGTTCCCGTCAGACACACAGCCCACGATAACGGAGTCATCAGAGAACTTCTCAAACTCACAGCTGTCCAGCCGCACGTACTGTGGTCAGTCCGAGAGGTAGTCGATGGTCCATGCAGTGAGGTTACAGTCCACTCCTGCGTCCTCCATCTTCCTCCGCAGCAGTGCTGATCCGATGGTATTGAAAGCACTGGAGAAGTCAAAAAACATGACCCTCACAGCGCTCCCGGCAGGCTCCAGGTGGGGCTGACCACAGAGCGGAGATGGGTGAGGATAAACCGCTCCATAGTTTGGAGTGACCAGTGAGCAGCTTTTACAGGAGTCAAATACTGGAGACAAAAGCAGGAGAAGAATCTCCAAATCTGCTGTAGACACTCATTTGATAGCCTGACTCTCGCCAGACCCATGTAGTTCGCTGCACTTCACACATGCGTCTGGGCCTCTTCCATAGCAGTTGGATTTCAGAAGGGCCTATGTGAATGGATAAACCACTTGTTCGTTATCTTGAATGACGTCTTCCTTCAACCACTCACATCGAAGTACAACTCCCATGGGTTGCCAAATGCCGGCAAGATTTTCCAACCCAAAACCCACGAGAATGCCCAAAAAAAAAACAGAATCATTTTTTGGCTAAAAACGTAATCTATCATAATTCTGTTTATTGTATTTCCGTTTATTTATTACCTACAAGTCTCTTGAAGAAAAGTCAGCGGGAAACCACCCAACCTACTTAAACTTTACACAAACATTTGACTCATTTGTGTCTTACTTCGTTCGTATTTAATCTTTTTAAATAATTTGCAGACTTCATGTCCGCCATCTTGGATTGCTTTCTCTTCTGCGTGAGACAAGCTTGAGAAGGCGGTGCCAACCCCGTAACACCAGCAATCCTGATTGGTTGATTAAAAAATAATCTGCTGAAGGAGTTGGCTATGGCCTATCCCAGACCCATGTGGTTCAGCCAGACCCCTCTGGTGGAGCATGGCGGAACTACAAGGGTCTGGCGCGAGCCAGGCTACTCATTTGATGCAGCTCTTTCAGTTTCATTATTAGTCCATTACTAGAGTTCTTATTACAACATGAAATAATTTGTTCTGAAATTGACTCAGAGCATCCAGTAGCAGACAGCTGTATGCTGTATGTATTCAAATAGTGACTAAAAATCTGTGCTTGGTTTTTTGCTTACAGTTGTATTTCTGAGTGTTACCTACTAAGCCATATACTGAATTGGAAAGGAATGCATACATTGATATGTGTAATACTTTGTGTGTTACAGTAATATTTGTATTACCATTTGTGTGTTCTGTTGGCTGTGTGCACATCAGCTCCATCACGCAGCTCTCATGTGGGCTCGTATTTGGAAAAACCACATTGCCCCATTGCTCTGGGCAACAGTCCACTAATACTACTGATTTAAACAGATTGTTCAGAATGTGTGGCTGTAGCTCTATATATTTTTAAAGAAAACTTCTAGTACTGGTTATTTTGGTAGAAGTAGTAGTAGCAGCCGTAGTAGTAGTAGTAGCAGCAGTAGCAGTAATAGAAGTAGCAGCAGTAGTAGTAATAGTAGCAGTAATGGCAGTAGTAGAAGTCGCAGTAACAGCAGCAGCAGCAGCAGTAGTAGTTTTAGTTGCAGAAGCAGTAGCAGTATTGGTAGTAGAAGAGTAGTTGCAGTAGCAGTAACTGTAGTGGTAGTTGAAGTAGTAGTAGTAGTAGTAGTTACATAGCAGCAGCAGCAGCAGTAGTAGCATCCGTTGTATGATCCTGTGTGAAACCGGTTTGGTCAGTCTCAGATTGTCTTCTGGCCTCAGGGAGTTTTGTTGGCGTGTTTCCCAACAGGAGGAGAGCGTGCTGTAGTGGCTCCTGATGAGTTCAGGAGCCATGAGTTCTGGAGACTGTTTCATGTTCTAGTCCAGACTCCATAACCAAAGAAAAGATTGGACTGGAACCCAACTGTATTGCTAGCCTGTTAAAGGGCACTACCGCAGGCCCAAAACAGGACTAAAGGAAGACTAAAGCAAGACTAAAGCAGGACTAAAGCAAGACTAAAACAGGACTAAAACAGGACTAAAGACTAAAACAGGAGTAAACAGGACTAGTAATGTAATTACTGTAATATATTACCTTTTGCTGTAACGCAACAATGTAAGGCATTACAAAAAACCTAATATTTACTCGGTACAAAGGTCAGTAACATGCGTTACATTGCATTTTAACCCAAAAGAGTTTTGTTTTAATACTACGCGACCGCAAGATCAACAGGGGAGAAAACACACCAATTGTGGCCACGTGGACATGCATGGAAAATATATGAATAATATATGGAAATTACGTACGCTTTAATCTATGTTTTAAAACAGCTAAGAATGATGCACTCTCATAAAGTTTAATAAATGAAGCTGTAAGCTGCTATGAACCAGTTCTGAGCTAGGACTGAGCCTGGACTGGGCCAGGACAGGACTGAGTTTGTTGGGGACAAAGATGTGGAACATAACAGATGACTGCACTTTTTCAGTAGTAGTGTAATGTGTTACAATCCAGAGACAGTAATATTGGGGTGTAATACATTACTTTGAAATAACAGTTACAAGTAATCCATAATGTATTATGGATTACTTGTAACTTGCCCAACACTGAACAGGACTAAAGCAAGACTAAAACAGATCTTACCTCATTTACTATTTCACTGATTGTCAAGACCCACAGAATATTATGTGCTGAGACTATATGAAATATGAAACCAGATTCTAAATACGTTTTTTCTACTTTCATCAGAAAAAATAAGTTTGTTTTTAGCTAGCTTGGTTTTTCTGTAATCCCCCGTCCAATAGAATGAAGTTTGATAGAAATCACAAGTCTCAGACAAATACAACAATGGCAGTCAATGAGTTTTAATCAGCACAGAATCAGGACTAAAGCAGGACTGAAGCAGGACTCAAACAGGACTAAAACAGCCAACATCAGTCCTGTTTTAGTCTGGGTTCATTTTTCCTTCAGCCCTGGTCCTGGTCCTGGTGCTGATCCTGGTCCTAACCCTTTGCGCTTCTCTCCACAGACCCCATCTCTGGTGTCAAGCTTTCATCCCCGTCTGGACAGCTCATGGCGGGTAATAGCTCAGCGAACATAAGCTGTGCGGCGGCAAAAGGTTCCGTGGATTCTGTGTCGTGGCTGAAGAACGGAGCAGTGCTGATCCCTGGTGGCAGCGTGGTTTTCTCTGCAGATAAATCCTCGGTGCTCATCAACCCACTCGAGAAGGAAGACAACGGAGATTACACCTGCACCATGTCCAACGCAGTCAGCAGCCAGTCGGACAAAGTCAAGTTGAGCGTCATCTGTAAGTCATGTCTAGTTTCATACTATTTACTGAGCCCACTCTATTTTTATCCCATTAAGTATTTTACTCAAACATAATAATCCCTTAAAAACTTCTTTTCCTGTCCTGTGCCCAAGAGGCAATCAAAGCACAGTCCTCAAAACATTTCATACAAACACACAGTGATAGAAACATACAGTAAATATTAGCCACAACTAAAGCCTGTATGGAGATGGTGATGTAATACTGATCTGCTAGTTCAATAAAGCCAAATAGGGATGTACTCATGGACGAAGTCTAACTCGCTCTGACTCCTCCACCATTTTGAGCTATAAGTCTGTGGTTTAGCGCTCTCGGTGATCCTGGTGTTTACATTGTGATATTGTCTTTGAAAATCCAGATATGAACCATACAATAATTGACTAGTCAGGAAATTGGCTAAAATCTACTTCTTCCACATTGAGAAATCACTAATGTGACGTCACATTCAGTCAGCCCACTCCTAATATAAAGGACTATACAGGACCTATAACAGGTTACTGATTGCCAGATTCCCATTTCCCACAATGTTCAAAACATTTCAGTAAGTGGGCCAGTCTTGTCTACAGCATGAATTATAAAATCAGTTTTTGTGGTTTGCACTCTCACTTTTCCTAGGTTCAATTCCAGTTCGGTTTCCTCCACCACTTAGAACAATTGCTTTATTTGACCTTTATTAAAGGTCAATATTTCAAATCGATTGATTACAAAAGATTAAAAACTCCATATTTGAGAAAGCTGTAGGTTTTGTAACATTACATCTGTGAGAAAAAGAGTTTAGGCTGCATTACCGCAAGTGGCCTCTGAGCTGCAGCTAATACACTATCCACATATTAGAATAGATACATAAAACACATAGTGTTTGCACTGTGAAAGATTAAGGTTAAGAAATCCTTTATTAGTCCCACAGTGGGGAAATTTCAGTGTTGTGTCACCAAAACACTAGAAATGAGGAGCACAAGATAAGTGAATAATACAGTAACTCTATTCTAAAATAAAATAAAATCTCTAACTTTAGCATAATAAAGAAAGAAAGGTCCGTTCTGGATGTTGTGTCCACCTGGTATGAAACCCCACGGTGTACAGTCGGCCTTCTTGTGAGCTGGTGTGTGTCCTGGTCTGACCAGGGGAAGTGCACATTGATCAGAGCACAATCAGAAGAACGTAAAGAGCTCGCTCTGCTCATGAGCTGTTGTATTATGCAGCTGTCCTGAGTTTGAGTCCACTTCAGTCTCTCACATCGATCCTCTCTTCAGCAGAACTCACATGGACACTTCCTGTTGTTTAAAGCTCTTTGCATCCTGAATGATCCATGAAATATTAAAGACAGTTACGTAGGTTTGCAGAAGTTTTGATTGGGATTGTTTGGCAAACAGCACAGAAACAGAATAATTTATGTTAATTTGTCTCTTCAGGGGCGTTCATACCGCTGACTCATCAATGCGTCTGACGCATTGATGAGTCAGACGTAAATCTGACGTGCTGCCTTGCGATGCTGCAAGATGCAGGGTGGAAGTGGTGGGCAGGGCTTAGATTCTAGCCAATTTACACAAAAAGCGGCTCTTTGTTCTCCTCCACAAGTGCAGCTCTGCAGCGTGTTTGTGTCCAAGATCCTCCAGAGACGTAATATAATTGCAGTATCTGCTCACGGAGCTGTGCCATGGATGTTATTAATCAGTACCTCCGTATCAGCGAACTTTGTCAGTCCTGGTATAACCCTCGTCTAGTCTTTGTTTAGTCCTGGTTTAGCGCTTGTTTTCAAGTGTCTTTGTCTTCTTGGCTTGTGTCCCCATGACCACTTGGCTGCTCTCGGATTGGTTGCTGCACGTGTGCCTGGTGAAGTTGAACAATGTTCATCTCTCACGTTCGTCTTCGTATGCAACGAGTCGCCGTACCCAACGCTGTTGCGCCGCAACAGAAGAACATTCATTTTGATACTATAAAAAACATTAAACATGATAAAACGATATTAAGTCGTCTGCATTTGACCAATCCTTCATTTTGTTTTAAGGGCTCTGTCAGGAGGATTGGTTGCCCATCTCCAGTTTTTTGAGCTCTTGGCCTGACCAAGAGCTGGAGGACTTCACCTATTGTACATGTTTTTAGTGGTATAGGAGACCGGAGCACCCAGTGGAAACCAAGGAGAGAACAAGTACACTCAGAAAAGCCCTCTTTGGATCCAATCACAGGACCTGAGTGTTACCCACTCAAAATGTTTATATATATGTATGTTTTTATTGTATTCAATATTGTTGTTTTTTCAGTAATATTGTATTGATATAATTGATGAAAAATATATACATAGATTGTATTGTATTGCTGAGAAATGTATCAATTTGTATTGCATTGAAGTGAACATCCCCTGTATCAAAATGTGTATCATCTCTGAAAGACACACAGCCCTAAACGGCACAGTTAATACAAGTTTGAAATCAGAGCCTTACAGAATAGGCAGGGGACATGTTTTCGCCCGAAGTTCATAGTGTTTCTGGATGGAGCTAGAAGCAACAATAATATCTCTGTTAAGACCTGGCTCAATGGACACAAATCTCTAATTGTGTTTCAGTGCACACTTACTGTTTGCTGAGACAATCCATCCCACCACAAGATGCTGAATGGACAGAATCTTTAGGCTGAGCACAATAGTCGCGTTTCCACCGCGGGAGTTCCAAGGTGGGGGGTGGGACAGCTACAGGAACCGTCCTCTCACTCAGCCATGTCTCCACTGAGAGTAGTACCGCTCTACGACGTCATGAGTTTTGATAGCCGCGTAATCAAAAATTATTTATTTTACGGTGGGAACCGCTTCGTTTGTTGTCGTTTTGAGTTTTTTATAGTCCTGCTTCAGTTTTGTGTAACTTTTCACAGCATTGTTTCTGAGTATGATGAGTTCCCAGTGCTTCGCGGTGCGCTGATATATATTTTTTCATTTTTTCAAACCCCGTCCGAATTTCTTTGGTGCTGTTGAAGGCAATTGCCTTCACCTGATCATTTTTCCATTTATTGTACGTCTTGCAGTTGTTGTTTTTTGTTTTGGTATTTTCTGGTGGCGTTAGAGCCTGCTCTAGCTTTAGCCAATCAGCGGCGAACAAAGTACCTAGCATGAAGGAGGTACACCGTTGGTTCCCATAAAAGTTCCTGTAAATCACCCTGTGGGAGAGTTTTCTGTAGTGTAGACACGCACTAACCGGGCTGGCCCTGTAAAATTACCCCGAAGTTCCTGCGGTCGAAACGCGACTAATGAAAGGACACTCTAACATGGGGGCCCAGAAAACCAGTCAGCGTGGATCTGGCTGTCATACTGTACAAGGCGAGCCAGAGAATTCTAAACCTGCTCACTGGCTGATGTGTGTGGCAAGAAGTGGGGGAAACCAAAAAATATATACTTTGGTCCAGTGTATTATCTACGATTTCAGCTTCTAAAACATGAGTCCAAATTACTGAAAAGTACTGACCTGGTGAATTTCCAGACTGTGCAAAAACCATATTGGGAAAAGTGAAATGATTTACATCAAAATGTACAAAAGTGGTTTACTGAGAGAGAAAGAGGGGATGTGTTGGGGGGAAAACATTTCAGATTACCAATGGTACCCATAGCAGCTTAAGCAATGTCGAAATATGAAACAATACAGAAATAGATTCAAAGAAATGATTTTGGGATTTTATAGAAATGAAGGAAAATGTGTTTGTTTGTTAGTTTATTTTTACCTTCACTGGCCGTGAAATGAATAAAGGATCTGTTATCTTATCTTATCTTAACTGAATACAGCAATGACAAAAACGTTTGATGAAAAGGGACCAAATGCTAACTACTGACATTAAACTGTGTGTTGTCTGAAGAAGCTAAATACACCTGTTCTCATGCAGTTTTGGTCTTGTCCGCAGACGGCCCGGAGCCCGTGCAGCTCAACGGAGACTCCAAAGTGGAGGTGAGTGACATGGTGACGCTGGACTGTTCTGCTGCCTCTGTCCCTCCGGCGAACTACACCTGGAAGTTCAACGACACCAAAACAGCCGTTACCACGAGTCAGTACTCCATCCCCAAAGTGACCTACTCCAATACAGGCACCTACACCTGCGAGGCCTTCAACGCTCTGACGGGAAAGACCAGCAGCAAGAGCCACTTCCTTGTGGTCCGAGGTGAGAAACAGAGAACCACCAGATCAGATTCTACGACTACTGTGAAAAAGGGGTCTGCGACCTTCTCGATTGGAGAGCTACTTTTATAAAAACAGAAATGGCAAAGAGTTGTTATTCAATTGTAATTAAAGGTATATAGGAGGATTTTCCCAATTTTTAGGAAAGAAACGCCATCTCCACCTTTTGAACAAAACTCTCTGGTCTTATTTGACGAGCATGTATCAATAGAATGATTATCATTTAGGAGGACCAATAGTCTTGATGATCCACCCTGAAGAAGAAAATCCTCCTATATAAATTTCAAAATCATAGAGAACACACAATATATGTAGCCTTTAAGATTTATAGTTAATGCAAAAGTTATAATTCAGGACCATGTGTTAAATTCTTGAATCCTTTAGGGACTCAAGAAAAATTAAGGCAAAAACAGATTTGCCTTAAGGGGATCATTTATATTCAGGCAATTTAGCTGATCAATCAAAGGGAAATTTAACTTGACTCTGATCGAGACATTACTGGTTCCTCTCTGTACCGAAGAGCCGTCCACAGGAGTTAGTGAGTTCATTGTGAGGCACAACTTTGTTCAATTTCCCTTCCATAGCATTTCAATTTGGAGAGACGTCAGAAGACAAAATGCATTTTGAATGTTTTTATTAGGGCTGTCAAAATTATCGTGTTAACGCACGTTAATTCATTTTTTTCATTAATCGCGTTTAAAAAATGAACGAATTTGACGCATGCCCATGCGTCCCAAAATAACACTCAGAATGCCGCGGACACATGCGCGTGTGTAAGATGGGGACAGAGCAGGTAGGCCCTCTGGGGCACTTGTTGTTTCCTGTATGAACTCTGCATGAGGAGCTGCGGGCGCGACAGCGCTCTGGACAGCAGTTCCCACTTCCAGCGGCTGTGATCACGGCGAACGGCGCTGCGTAATGGGATCATATCCAAGACCACGCACAGAACTATTACAGAACTATTCTCTAGTGTGCGTACGTGTCTTTGCGTAACCGATGCACACAATATGTACAGCGCTGAAGCTGGACTGCGGAGTCTCCTCTGTGTCTTCTCCCGAAGCGCACTCGCTAAATTAAAGCTGAAGTACCTAATTTTCCTTTCAACTACCAGACATGTTAGTTGTGCCAAAAAAAGTAATGGTCTGAGCAAATGAAACAGATTTAATGACATTCTGCATTTCAGACTATTTTGAAATGTCCCTCATCTGTAACCAACAATGGTTTTGGTCTGAGTCTAAACAGAAAGACAGAATGTCAATAATGTTAATGCCATTTCATATGGATTTATTGTTATAACAAACAAATACAGTTCATATGTTCACTAAGCTGTCATTTATCTTTCCATTCAAACAACAATTTACAGAAAAATATGGCATAATTTTGCCAATAGTTTGAAATGCGATTAATTACGATTAATTAATTTTTAAGCTGTAATTAACTTGATTTAAAAAATATATCGTTTGAAAGCCCTAGTTTTTATTGAAAGGTAGTTTGGCGCCCTAGGCCCCGGTGCGGCGTTCAGTCAGCGAGGCTCCTGCGTGAGTGCGCACACAATCCCCTCGTGACCTAGGCACTGGTGGCGGCATTCGGGCAGCAGGAAGGAGGCATGCTTGAGGCAGGGTGAGAAAAGGAGGTGGAGGGGAGGCGGTGGTTTGCAAGGCTTCGAGAAGGCCGTAAAGTGGGAGTTTCTCCACTTTTAAGCTGCTGGCTTGACCAGCATAAATTGGTTGGAAATGGGCGTTTGCTGTGCGATAGGCTGAGGATGCGAGGCCGGCCTTGAAGGGGGGGCTTTAGCCGTCAGTCTTCCAGAGTTGAATTTCCGCGAGGCTGCATTTGTGTTCATCCATCGACCGCATTGCAAGATCTTTAAGCAAATGTCAGACCTGTAACACATTCTGCTGAGCTCCCATCATACTCTCAACCACCACCCTGGTCAGCTCCTGGTCAGCTCCTTGAACATCTCTTTGTTTTCTTTCTGGTAAATTCTTTGAGTGGAAAAAGGGGAAAGCTTTGCACATCTGACTCTGCGACAGGTGCATAAGGGCCGGCTCCGAACACAGCTTCGGCAACTTGAAAAAGAAGAAAATGACTTGTACATTGTTCTTGCATACACCAGTGTATTTTATTTACAGATGTGCAACGTTTCAGCCGTGAGCTGTTTGTCAGGCAAATGTTTTTTTCAATTATGACAAGCCATCTAAATTAGGGTGAGGCCGCATTCATCATTCTGTGAGTGCCCATCCTCCCAACATTGAGGTAGACCAGGGCAACTCCAAGCCCCAAGATGAGAAACCCTGCTACCATAAATTCAAATATGACACAATTTTCAAAATCCTCAATGGATAGCAGTAGCGACAAACCAGCTGTCAAAAACGTATCCTGCAGGGGTTGTCCGGGCAGGGAGTGTCTCCCTTATTTCTTTCCTATTTCATCAGAAAAGAAATAATACTATTAATTTCCTTAAGATTAAGAGATCCTTTATTTGTCCCACTGTGGGAAAATTTCAGTGTTGCATCACAAGTTATAGAACAGCAGGAAAGAGGAGCACACGGCATAAGTTAAGTGAACAACAGCTATACTAATTAAAATAAATCTCTAATTCTAGCATCAATAACAAGTATAAAATCTCTATCTTGAAAATAAATGTGTTTTTGTCCCTTCAGGGTCCGTTGTTGGGGTTTTTCTTCTGCTTGTCCTGATCATTTCTTTCCCTGTTATCACCTACAGTAGTCCTTTTGTTGACGTCTTTCCCTTGCATGCCCCCATCTTACTCCTGACTTTTTCCCATGTGTCCCAGCGGAGGGCGAACTGGACGAGGGCCTCTCAGACGGAGCCATCGCTGGGATTGTGATCGGGGTGTTAGCCGCGGTTGCTATCGCCGTGGGGCTATTCATATACTGCAGGCAGAAATTACCGTAAGTAACTGAAGAAGATGACATAGTCTGGGATCGTGTCTTAAATTCCGACAGAAGACATGTTTTATTGTCGATGGTAGAGACAGCACGAACAACACGAACAACAGAATGCAAGTGCCAGCGGAGGCATGGAGACCTCCAATCAGCAGCTTCCACGGTGCCATGTAGCTTGGCCTTCAGATAGACAAAACAAGGGAAAAGTACTGGCTTCTGCACATTGATAGAATGATGAGTTTAACTTTAACAAAAGTTGCTTCAAAGTGTTATGAAATCTCACATAACTTCTGAATTTGACCAAAGAAAATGTTGCTATCTGGATCCAACCCCACCTTGAATTATGGTGTGATTAATGACAAGGTAAGAGATTAATAAAATAAGAAAGAAATGATTATAGAAGGCAATAAAATCAGAATCTCAGTGCATTAATAGGATGGAAGATATAATCCTTCAGTTGTATGCAAAAATAAACCTGGATTTGAACATGGTCAGAGTCGAAGACCGTCTCACATTTCAGCAATAGATTTGAGTGCCTTCAAAGAGCTATTCTAATGAATATTGAAAACAAAGAAAAGAAAACAGAGTTTTCTTGTGGTTTTAAATTCAGGCCTGAGTTCAGAGAATCATCTGTGTATATGAGGCAAGCTGTGCTCTGGCCTGGCTAACTCTGCTGTGGGTGTGACTAACTATACTGGGGGCGGGGCTAACAGGTTGGGAGAAGTGGTATTTGACAAAGGCATTCTCGTCATTCCTGCTCCTCGCTGCAGCTCACAACACGTCCAGCCAGATTTCATTCAAACGCAGTCGCACCCATGACTGCAGAACTTTTAACTGACTTCTTCCAGTTTCACTTCTCATTTCCACAAAAGTTAAACTCTGCATTGAAAACAGCTTTAGGTTTCAAAACAACACCTTTTATGTATCAGCCTTTCATTCACTCTTGGCTTAAACGCCTCGTCCACAGTAAATAAACCTGTTCGACGGTGAGATGCATGGGCTCCGGGACGTCTTTGGACAAGAGCAAAACTGTATGAGAACAGGTTTATTGTATGTTGTGCAAAAGTATTGTATGTCTCCAGATGTGAGCCATATAAGGATTGACCAATCGGCACTAAACCACCAATGCTTTAAATTCCATAATAGTGAGTGTGAAACAAATGGTTACTGAGCTAGAGGAGTTTACTTTTACATGTAAGTCAATAGGAACCATGGCGAGTTGGAGATAAACTACACTATTTAGCTTCATTGAGTCGGCAGGTTAGCATTGTCAATCTGTATACAGTATGGATTGCGCTTGCTAACAAATGTATGCAATTTTGCATGCCTTTGGCTCCACATTCCCACTCAAATAGCCTGTTTGGGTTAACTCTAATCGGTAGTGTTGCTCCTCACAAAGCAAACTGCTTTGAAATACTGCGTTGGAGCGTGTATCCAAACATGCCAGTAATGTGACAAAGGTGTCAGTGTCTCTGACTCTGCAGCCACTGCTTTGCTTATTATATCAACTGTGTTGGTGTGTCAAAGAATTTCATTGGGCATAGGCAACCGAGGCGGTCACCTGGGCTGCCATGTTGCACAAAATTACAGTCTTTCCTTTCTTTTCCTTTTTTTATTTTGCTGTTTCCCATCACGTAAGATTGAAAAAAAAATCATCATTGAACCCTGCTGCTGTAGGCTGCACTCTTGTCAATCCAAGGTGAGTCGGTGTCTTTGGTCAACATTATTACGAAAAGACAGTCCAAGCCAATAAACGCAGAAGTAAAGAAGAGTGAAAAACGGGCTCAAAGTAGAGGTTGAACATATACATCCAGCCTATGGATAGATGAGAGTCTAAGCTCTGGTTTGATCTTTAAAGCGTTTAAAAATAGTCTGTATTCAAAGAGATATGCGTCTTTACAGTCCTGTTTGAGACAGAGGCAGACATTACGCTACGGGCGGAAAATACGTGTGCAATGAGAAGCGATGAGCATGGCGCCGTAAAGATGGCGCCGTGGCAAGAGCTCAGGTGTGTGTCGTCTTCTCTGTCTGGTGCACACCGGGGTAGTCTTGCACAGTTTTCCAATGTGGTTTTACTGCAAATGGCAAATAAATGAATCTGAATCTGATGAGCGGCAATGCGGTTGCTCAGTTCTGAGCCAGGACTGAGAGGGCAACCAGGCCTGAGCCAGGCCTGAGCCAGGACTGAACCAGGACTGAACCAGGACTGAACCTGTTCTGAGCCAGGGCTGAGAGGACAACCAGGCCTGAGCCGGTGTTCTGCCGAGTTGTGCCGCTCGCCGAGTCGTGCCACCTCAGCTGTTAATGATGTAATGCAAACCTGCGCATGCGCGTCTCATTAACAGCTGAGGCGGCACAACTCGGCGAGCGGCACAACTCGGCAGAACGCCGGGACTGAGCCAGGACTGAACGAGGACTGAGCCAGGACAGAATCAGGACTGAGCCAGGGCAGAACCTGAACCAGGATTAACCAGTTTACCCCCAAGTTTAACAACCCCTTTGATTATTAGACTGAGATTATTAAATCCTAATCCTTTTTCAACGTGCCTCCTTGGTTTGACAGCTAACTGGCTATAGAATAAATTATGGATCAATATTTATTCTCAATGTTGCAAGTGGAAAATAGTGATCTATGGTTTAGGATAAATTTGTTTCTTATTCAACCTATTCAACTTATTCACACACTTATTATAACAAGGTATTGTTACATCAAATAATATTTTCGGGTAATTGTTCTCTACCATTTGTGTTATATGGTGAAATTGTGCTGTGCACTCAAGTATTCAGAAACTGCAATGATTACATTTGTCCGCTAGATTTCTGTGTTACAACATAGTATGAGCTAGCTCAGTTGTCAAATGTATTTCCTACAGCCACAATTAAGTACACTCTGCTCATAGTTTTTAGAGCTGAGTTGAATCTGAAGAATGCTAAACGCACATACCTGTGATGATTGTGCTGTTACTCTCCCTCTGTTTCTGTCAGCACAAGAGAGATGATCGGAACCGGAAACTCTCAGAACATGGAGCATTCCTGCATCGCTGTGTCACCACCAAACATACTCTAGAGCAGGGGTCACCAACCTTTTTGAGACCAAGAGCTACTTCTCGGGCACTGATTAATGCGAAGGGCTACCAGTTTGTAACCATAGACTGTATATATTAACGCACAGAGTCACGCCTATCTCCGCCGTTCTAACTAATGGGCCAAAAATTTGTTCTACTGGAGCAATCCAAAATGGCCGCGAGTGGTCCCGCCCACAAGAAAATTGTGAAAAAACGCATCTGCGCATGCGTCAGCCGGCGCAACTCCATTCATTTGAACGAGAGACTTCAAAAATTCACAGCAAGTAAACTAGAGTGGACCAAAAAAATCCACCCCCCTCAGCATTGACACACATGTGGAGCTTTGGGCCAAGAGCCAACTTTTGGTCCATCCTGTAAAGACGTTTTTGAGAGGTCTGCCAATGCTTTATGTTAGCATTGGCTAATTCTACTTCTGGGTCCACCCCCATCGGCCCGGGGTGGTATTGCAAGCATGTCAGCGCATGTCATTTTGGCCACTTTTGAGCCGGGACCCGCCTCCACTGTTTGTTACACACTTAAATACATTGCCAGAAATAACCAATTTGCTCAATTTACATTTAACTCTGTTAGTATTAATAATTAATGATATTTATCTTTGTGGAAACACTGATCATCTTAATGATTTCTCACAATAAATATATATAGAAACAGATAAATATCAATATGCAACACTTTATTGTTACATTTTCTCTAAGTGCACATTTATTCACAGTTATGTGAATTGAATATCCCATTTTAACTATAGCTACTAACATTTTTTAACAAATCATGAATTACTTTGCACCATGTTTGTACAAATAACTCATGTAAAATACAAAAGTCAACTCTCAAATGTTTAAGATAAGATAAGATGAGCCTTTATTAGTCTCACAATAATGTCACACGTGACGATCTCACAGGAGTTTAGAAACCAAAGTGGTCCCATTTACGCTGCTACTTTCTCCTCTTCAGAACAAAAACAACAGTGAAGCTGTTTGAGATCATTACATGTGTTTCTACTGTAGGTTTATGTGACCGTTCTAAACTCATCGTTTCAACTCATTTAACTGTGATGTTCTGAATAAAGACAGTTCTTGTTGGAAACATAGTTATTATTAAAGTGTATTCAGCACAAACAGCAAAACAATAATTGGTAAAAATATCTGAGACAAACATGAACGATTTACAAGTGCAGGAGGAATGCAACAGACGCAGCTACGATTCAAACAAAGACAGGAACAGTGCAAAAGAAACGACTGCACAGTTCATAAGTTATATATATATATATATATATATTATATATATATAATGTTAACTATAGGTTGTATGTTAGATATGCAACAGAAGTGAACAGTCCAGTTTCCGCATATATCAGGCTCTGCAATGAGCCCAAACTGCTTTTTCTTCGCTTCCTTCGATGCAGTCTGCTCTGCTCCGAAGTGCCTCGTCCATGCGCCCTGCAGCCGCTCCGTGCTTCCGCCCAAAACACACACACGGACCAATCACAGCGGAGCTTCTCTCACATACGGACCAATCACAGCAGAGCTTGTCTGCATTTTCAAGGGTGCGCAGCAGGCTACGTAAGGGCCTTGCCGTGATCCACGCGTCGCGCAAGTTAAGCCTCGTGGAGCTTACGGAGGTGACGTGACGTCACTTGCGCAACGCGTTGGTCACCGCAAGGCCCTTACGTCGCCTGCCGCGCAGCATTGACATTTTCTAACTACGTAAGGGTCGCCGCAAGGAATCTCCGCTGTGATTGGTCCGTGTGTGTATTGGAAGGAAGCATGAAGCGGCTGCAGCAGGGACATGCACTGCATGAAAAGATAGATTTTCGTCACCCTAAACGGCAGGAAATCATGCTCTTTTTCGGGTATCTCAAGCAGTTTTCAAAAGGCGCAGTTAGGGTGCCCTGTCCTCCAAACTGCCGTATCCGTACCATGC